TGCAAAAACTTGCCAGCTGTCTACACTGGCTGCTTGAATTTGTGCAAGAGCACTGACTTTGTAATGTACAAAAATCAGTGCTTCTTGTGCAAATACTTTCACGCTCCCACTCAGGAAAAAGCCCTCTTGCGCAAGAATACTTGCACAAGAGGGCCAGTGTAGACAGGGAAGAACTGTTTTGCGCAAAAAAGCCCCCATGGCTAAAATGGTGATCGGGGCTTTCTTGTGCAAAATCATGTCTAGACTGGCCACAGATGCTTTTGTGGAAATACTTTTAACGGAAAAACTTTTCCATTAAAAGTATTTCCGCAAAATCATGCCAGTCTAGATGCAGCCTTCATGTTTCCCAGCCAGCAACTGCTCCTTCCCCCGAAACCTGGTGTTGGTCTCTGCCTTTCTCCCTTTCTCTCTCCCCCTGGGAATCCTGTTATCTCCTCAGGCTGAGCCTAGGTGTCTAGGTTAATACACATTTGGGTGAGTCAGTGGGAATCCCACATCACAGCGCAGGGGGACCCCAGATTACAGTGCAGACAGCACCCCCACTATACCACATCGGGTGCTCAGGAACTCACCTCTCTACAGAGGAGCTTTAAGTATACAGACCGAGCCTCTTTGGTCCAACGCCCTTGGGACCTGATCGGTGCTGAACCAGAGAATTTGCTGGACCATGGGAGGTCAATATTATCTAGCACATGGGTGGGGAACCTAAGGCCTGGATGTGACCCCAGCTTGTCTGGATCCAGCTCCCGAGGCTCAGGGCTTCTCCCCAGCACTGGGGAGCCTGCACTGGTACTCCAGCCCTTCCGCTGCTCTCCTGTGGGGCTGGAGCACACAAAAGCTACTAGCCTGGGCCCCCCAGGCTCTGGTGTGCGAGGAGAATGTGGGGAGCGTCTTTCTGCTTCTCAGGCAGGCACCACGGCAGTGAGGATTTGTTTTTCTTTCTTTTTTTTTTTTTTTTGCTTCTCACTTGTGTGCGGCCCCCAACCCAAAAAAGGTTCCCCATCCATGGTCTAGCAGCATTACTCACACTCCCAAGGCTTACTGGGCTCTGAGAAGACATTTAGGGGGTAAATTAGAGCTAAATAACAGCACAAAACATTGAGAGGCAGGATGGGTGGCTGTGAACAAAATGTATGGGATTGCAGGAAGTTTGGCCACACCCATGATAAGTGGACATTCGGCTCACTAAAATCATCCTGGACCATGGCTGGTGCTGGACCAGAGAGTGCCGGATGAGACCCTCCCCAGTATAGCTAGACTGTCATGCAGATGAGACTCATTTCCCTCAAGTCGATGAAATTTGTGCAGCGCACTGAAAAATAAAAGAGGCGCTGCCCACCTGCAGTGCCCACCTCTTCCAAACTCCCAAGCCAGCTCCAGAACAAGGAGCTGGTGTAGCCAGGCATGGGCTGGTTATTGCAAGTGCCCAGTGACTAGCCTTGTCTCTGGGTCCTGGTGCTGTTCACATGCCCCCCTCCCCCCCGTGATCTCACCGTTTCCGAGTCGCAGTCCCTGCATAAGGTGCTCTGGAGCCTGTGCAGCATGTGCCTGGAGGGAAGGTGAGAGTGAAGTTTGCTGGGCAGCTTCACTGGAGTGTGAATTTCGGGACCGTGTTTGCATTCATTACACTCCCATTAAAAACTGGCTGGCTCAGACCTGGGCAGGACTGGTCTGAATGTGCAGCTGATCATCTGTCCCTGCCAGCCTCTGGAAAAACACGCCTGGCTGTGCACCTGAGGAGTGCTGGCTGGGACAGAGACAGGCAAAGGGCTCCCGGCCTCTGTCCCCTCCCCGTCTGGGGCTCTCTCTTTGCATTCGCGCGTCCTGCACTTGGTTTCTCCCTGCGTGGGTTGCAATGGCTGAGGATAAAACTTTCAGCTATGGACTGATAGTGCTGGGCTTCTTCCTGGTGATGATTGGCATGTTCATCATGAGCGTGGACAAACCCCACGTCTACATCACCTTTTGCACCTTGGGGGTTTTAACCATAGCAGTGGGGATCACCTGGAGCATGTGTCAGTGCTACCCCAAGGTAGGGCCGATTCTCTTATTTGTGCTTTCTTGGGCTGCCTCTCTGGCGCAGGGGTTCTGGGAGGGGGTAGAGGGGCATTGCGAGGCATCTTTGGGAGCCAAAAAGCCTCCACAGGGCTTAATAATAGCGGTGGCTTAAATACTCTTGTGGCAGCCCTATGGAGGGGAAGTGTGTGCCATGCTTAAGGCACCAGACCAGGAGACACTGGGGGGGGGGGGCGGTGCTACTTCCATCTCTGCTACTGACTCACTGTGCAGTCTTGGGCAAGTTATTTAACTCCTCTATGCCTCACTTTCCCCATCTGTAAAATGAGGATGGGGATGCTTACCCTTTCTTCCACAGTGCTGAGAGACCAGGGATGAAAATATCCACTAGTAGTGATTGCACAGTCACTGTAAGGCTTGGCTCAGCATTCCTTTGGCAGCTGATTTATCACTGGTCAGTGCTTGTGCCTGGCTCTGGGATATTGCTGCTATCCCATTGAGTGGCTGGCAATTTTTCCTGGGTGTGTAATGCATTGCTTCCCTTGAGAGGGGCGAGGGAACATCAAGGGGCTTCGTAATACGCCCTCTGCCACAGTCAGATAACTCAGACTAGTGGTCCAAGGGGCTTTTAAAAGTTACCTGCAACTTGAGGTTGGTTTGACTAAAACCCTTGAAACAGCTGCGAGTGGAGCAGGGAAGAGAGGGCAGTCACTTCTTCTGCCTCATTGTCTCTGCAGCAGCAATTCCAGTTCTCTCTGGGCACGGAGCACACGGAGCAAGGGGAATAGATACATTGCCACGCTCTCTGGAAGGGAGCTGAGAGCATTACATTAAACTGGGGCTACAAAACCATCCGTCCTTTCAGCCATTCAAAGTGCTCCTTGACACCTCAGAGGAGATGCCTCACTTTGTCCTTCTATCCCCAAAGAGCCTGCTTTTTGCCAGGCTTGGCTTTAACCCTGAGGACAGTGGAGGAGGCTGGCTCTGGATCTGGAGAGTTACAGGTGAAGCAGGCCCAGGGGGAGCTCCAAGGGTGTCTTTCGTTCTTCTGATCTGGGGATAAAACATCTTCAGGCGTTACTGAAGGCTGTGCTGACTGCACAGGCATGTGCCCTGAATCCCTGTTATTAATGAGAGGAGGAATCATTTAAAGAATCTCTCCTGCGTTCCCCCAACCCCTTTCCTATACCTCCCAGTGACAGCTGCCGTGTAACTCGTTGCTGCTAAATGATCAATAGGAAACAAAGAATGGCAAATGTCTCGATTCATTTCTCAAGGTCACCACCACCGTTCCCTCTAATATTTTTCCATTTGCATGCAGAATACATTTTATGTGCACCGAGGCATGTGCGGATGTGCACCAAACACATCCTGCTGGCTATGGGCGCTCTGCTAATCAGCTGGGTGACATTTGAATCTCTCCTGGGTGGCCACACACTCAGCTCACAGGGAACACTGGTCACCACCCCCAAAATCCACATTTCTCTCATGCAAATTAAGAAGGTGGAAGTTAAGCAAATGGACAAATCTTAGAGAAAGAGAGAGTCTCCCCCCCCCCCACCAGCCCCTTCAGTTAACCATGTAACTAACAGCTTAACAAGACTCTTTCACCAAGTTCTTTTGGGAGACACATATCAGAGGGGCAGGCTGGCACAGCAGAAGTGTTTTCATACCAGCAGCTTATTGAACAGATTCACGACACCGTGAAAGCAATTTGTGTAGTAAGGGAAAAAAATTGATCTGTTGCCTAAAGAACAACACTGCTGTGTAAGTGAAGGCACAGGAGACAGCCAGGAAAATGCTGGGAGGGGGAAGCGTTTACTTATTGCTCATCGATTGCTCACAGTTTCATATAAAATTGTTAAATTCAGTTTAGATTAAGGGGGAAAGAATCCTAGACCCTGCTGAATCCATGCCTAACCCCGAGGCCCTTTGACTCTGTGGGTTATTAAAGTCTCTTTCAAGAAATCTCCTTGAAGAATGTTGATAGCAGCTCAGTAAAACAATTAAACTCCCATTCCCCGAAGAAACAGCTATCCCACGTTCACCATTTTCCCAATGGAAACGAGACATTCGCTCACTCATCTGAGGAAGTGGGTGTGGTTCACAAAAGCTCATGATACTATATGTTGCGACAGGATCCGCCCCACTCCTGGGTCCCAGACCCCCGTTCTGCCCACTATCCCACAGTTTAGGGGCTGCAGCATAAGACTCGCTCGCCTTGTTTCAGCGTTTGGCCATCTGTCCCTCTGCAAAACAACAGAGCGTCGGGGCCGATGCCCCGGGCCAGTCAGGGCTGAGAAAAAAAGGTCCCCCTCTGGCCCCTTGGGAATAGGGAGTCTTCAAACACTCACTGCTCAAGCCCTTCACCTTCCCTTGCAGCCTTTAGCAGGGCTGGTGTCGTTCCCTGCTAAGCGCCTCTGAATCTCCTTACCACTTGTTTGTTCCTCTCCACCTCCCCTCCCCTCCCCTCCCAAACTCCTTCTTCGCTCTGTCCACCCTCCCCCACAGGGAAGGTTTTTAAAGAGGTCTCATGGCAGCTCAACTGGCCCTTAATTGATTGGTAGCAGTCCTGTCTCAGCTGCCCCTCATTAGCCAGGGCCCTTGCTGTTCCTTTTGTCAGAGCTGCCTCTCTCCCCTTCTACCTAGGCTTGCCAGGTGTCCGGTTTGGAACCAGACACTCCAGTATTTGAGCTTTCTGTTCAGAAAATAAATTGAAAAAAATATCAGTGAGAAAATACAAATGTTGGTATTTTCTAAATAAGATGTCATGTAGATTGTGATGTAGTGTCAAGCGTGTCCAGTATTTTTGTTGAAACCATCTGGCAACCCTACTTCTACCAAGCCCTTTAACCTGCTCTGTCACAATATATATATTTGGATAGTCTCTGAGGGTATGTCTACACTACCCTCCTAATTCGAACTAGGAGGGTAATGTAGGCATACCGCACTTGCAAATGAAGCCCGGGATTTGAATTTCCCGGGCTTCATTTGCATAAAGCTGGCCGGCGCCATTTTTAAATGCCGGCAGTTTGAACCCCGTGCCATGCGGCTACACGCGGCACGGAGTAGCTAGTTCGGAATAGGCTTCCTAATCCGAACTAGCTGTACTCCTCGTGGAATGAGGAGTACTGCTAGTTCGGATTAGGAAGCCTAATCCGAACTAGCTACTCCCTGCCGCGGGTAGCCGCGCGGCACGGGGGTCGAACCAGCGGGGATTTAAAAATGGTGGCGCCCCGCTTATGCAAATGAAGCCCGGAAAATTCAAATCCCAGGCTTCATTTGCAATTGCGGTATGCCGCCGGCATTTAAAAATGGCGCCGGCCGGCTTTATGCAAATGAAGCCCGGGAAATTCAAATCCCGGGCTTCATTTGCAAGTGCGGTATGCCTACATTACCCTCCTAGTTCGAATTAGGAGGGTAGTGTAGACATACCCTGAGGTGCTACAGGGCTACTCATTGGTATATTAACTCTCGGGTTAGATTTAGGTTTGGTCTAGATTGTAGCCTTACATCTGGGCTGTGTCTAGACTGGCCAGTTTTTCCAGAAAATCAGCCGCTTTTCCGGAAAAACTTGTCAGCTGTCTACACTGTCCGCTTGAATTTCCGCAAAAGCACGGGCTTCCTACTGTAAGAGATCAGTGCTTTTTGCAGAAATACTATGCTGCTCCTGTTCGGGCAAAAGTCCCTTATGTGCAAAGCTTTTGTGCAAAAGGGCCAGTGTAGACAGCTCAGATTTGTTTTGCGCAAAAATGCCCCTATCGCGAAAATGGCGATCAGGGCTTTTTTGCAGAAAAGCTCATCTAGATTGGCCACGGACGCTTTTCCGCAAAAATGCTTTTGCGGAAAAGCACCCGTGCCTCTAGATGCTCTTTTCCAAAAATGCTTTTAACGGAAAACTTTTCCGGTAAAAGCATTTCCAGAAAATCATGCCAGTCTAGATGTAGCCCTGTAGTCTAGAGCATGGATGGGGAACCTCAGGCCTGGGGGCTGCATCTGGACCCTGGCTTGCCTGGATCCGGCTCCTGAAGTTCCAGGCTTCCCCACAGTATTGGGGAGTCTGTGCTGGCGCTCCAGCCTCACCCCTGCCATCCCATGGCAGGACAGCAGCACAAAAAATCTACTAGCCTGGGCTCCCCTAGGCTCTGGTGTGCTAGGGAAATGTGGGGAGTGTCTTTTTCCTTCTCAGTCAGGGGCTGCACCAGTGAGTTTTTTTGTTTTTCATTTTTTGCTTCTCCCTCGTGTGCAGCCCCCAACTGATTTTTCTATGGGGCAGCCGACCCCAGCCCAAAAAAGGTTCCCCGCCTCTGGTCTAGAGTCTCCGAGTGACACAGGTTTACTGACCAATCTCCTGGTGTCGCCTGCGCTGTCACTGGGAAAGCTTCTCCTATCAGCACCTCCTATCTGGGGGAGGTGGCGTATCTGCGGTGATGGGAGGTCCCTCTCTGGCATTGGTAGCATCGTCACTGAGCAGTGCAGCCTGCCCCTGCAGCACTGCGTGTGTAGACAGTCCTTCTGTGAAGCACAATGGCTCGCGAGAGGATCTGGAGCCAATGAGTGGGCGTGTTGAGGCACAGCACAGGGCAGAGGAGGGGCAGAGCGGGAGGTTACAGCACAATAAGCTGAAGGGTTCACCCGTGATAGGGACCCATCTCCAGAATTTTGCATTATACGGTGTCTTTAAATGCTGGCGGTCAGGCCTCTTTACCGGTACTGGGAGAGCTGTAAGTGCAAGTTTGGATCTGGATCCCGACTTCCTGAAGCTTTGGGGGAGGGTTGGCTCTGGGCAGGCCTGCTGATGGGCGGGGACAAAGGGGTCCCGGCAAGCCGGCAGAGGTGCAGAGATGGCTGCAGGAGCCTCGGGCCCTTTACATTGCTGCTGGAGTGGTCCAGCCAGCGCTGAGGGCTGGGAGGTGGATGTGCCATGGTCCAGGCAGTGCTCAGGGCTGGCTGCCCCGGCCCCATCCCTTCTGCCTGAGGCCCCACTCCTTCCGGGAGCGCAGGGCTGCACCCCCTTCCACCTTGCCCAGGGGCCCAACAAAGCTGTTGGCCCCCCCTGGCTCTAGGACTTTGGTTTGGCCTGTAGTAGTGAGAAAGGGCAGCCATGAAGTTCAGCACTGGATCCAGTCCATGGTCTGTGGGGTGTGGATCAGGAATGCTGGGAATCCACGCCCTGGGGCCCATCCTTTCCCACGGGATGTCTCTGTTTCTGCATTGCAGCCTGTGGGCTGCATAAAATGCCCATCCCCCACTGGGAAGACCCTTGTCTCCTGGGGCTCTGGTCACCAGATATGGCTCCTGGAGGAAGGGGCAAAGCCATGGAGCCTGCAGCCCCCAGCTTCTCCTCAGATTGAAGTCCATGGCACAGCTCTGACTCCCTTGAAGGGGCCCTTTGGGGAACAGCCTGCCTGCCTCTGAAAGGGCCTGTCTCCCCTCAGGCTCTGCTATAGTTTCTGAGGCGCTGAGGGTGGCCAAGCTGGGGACTGATGCTAGGATCGGTGCTCCAGAAACTGCCGGCCCCCCAGCTGGACCAATCCAAGCCGGTTCCATTTGGAGGGAGCTGGCATTTCTCCACCTGTCTCCCCTGGGTGCAGGATGGCAGGACTGGGTGCCCTATTGGTGACATGATCCTGTCCCAGCCCTGCCAGGGGTGAGGTCCTGAGCATGCTCCATGGACCACTGAACACTGAAGACCTTACAGGACTGAGACTCCATTGGGGTTCTTCATATCAGCCTGAGTTTCGTGGCCAGGGGAGTAGCTTGCACACGGTCTATTCTTGTGGTAGAAATGTAGCCATGTTAGTCTGGTGCAGCTGTAGTGTGATCTGGCGGATTAGCTACCTCTTCCTTTGCAGTGATTTGGATGTAAAAATGCCCATTTCAGGTGTGAGCCAAGTATGATTTTACTGCTGGGAAGGAGTTAGTGCTAGCCCTACACCAGGGAAACCTCCACTGAGGAGATTCACCCTCTTTGTTCACATTTAGAGGAATGATTCACCCCTTCTTGTTTTATTTTATCTCCCTCCCCCCCGCCCAGATAACGTTTGTCCCCATGGAGACGGAGTCCGAGAAGTTCCTGTCACACAAGCCTGGTGCTTCGATAGAAAATGAAATTCTGGAGAAGAGCTGGTATGTCGGAAAGATCCCAGGTTCCCAGCCTCAGCTCAACAGTTTGCAATCTGGTTTTTAATTAGAGTCTTAGCTTGTACACAAGGTTATCTGTGTGCCTCCAGGGACGAGGTCAATCCCTGAACACTCTGGCGCGAGGGAGGGCTAAAAATATTTTGTCCAAAAAAAAAAAAAAAAAGTAAGCCGAGAGGGGAAAAAAAGCAAAAGCTTGTTATGGAACTGAGGACTCTGTTTCTATGTTATTTCAACCCTTAGATACTCAGCTTCTCTCTGAAGAGACTTCCAAGTGGGGGAGAGAGGGAAGTGAAGAGGGATGCAGCATGGGTGGGGGGGAGGGAGGTCTGACCTTATTCTGCAGTCCTTTCCCATCTAGAAATCCCACCGATTTCAGCCCCTTTCCAGACAAAATCCACCCTGACCCCTTGGAGTCCTCCTCTGATGGGCCTAGTCTCGTGCCTGTTGGGTGAGAGCCAAGCCCTGCAGTCCTTTCCTAGGCCAAACCCCCACTGGGTTCCCCACGTCACACTGCCCTTGACACCCACAGGGTTGGACTGTGCGCTCTCTCTGGAGCAAGCAGCTTAAGACCAATAGCTAACTTGATTGTCTCTCCACTAGGGTGACTGTTGTTCATTCTGAGCTGGATCCAACCCCTCCACCTCCCAGGCTGTGTCTATACTGGCCAGTTTTTCCGGAAAATCAACTGCTTTTCTGGAAAAACTTGCCAGCTGTCTACACTGGCCGCTTGAATTTCCGCAAAACCACTGACTTTCTACTGTAAGAAATCAGTGCTTTTTGCGGAAATACTATTCTGCTCCCGTTTAGGCAAAAGTCCCTTTTGCGCAAAAGTTTTACACAAAAGGGCCAGTGTAGACAGCTGAGATTTGTTTTCCGCAAAAAAGTCCCAATCGCAAAAATGGTGATCAGGGCTTTTTTTGCGGAAAAGCGCGTCTAGATTGGCCACGGACGCTTTTCCGCAAAAAGTGCTTTTGTGAAAAAGTGTCCGTGCCAATCTAGATGCTCTGTTCCATTAAAAGCATTTGCGGAAAATCATGCCAGTCTAGACGTAGCCCGAGGGTATGTCTACATTGCATTCCTGGGGAGTTCAGATGTGGGATCTGGGTCTGGCCCATTTCTAAGACAAATCGGCTCACTGTGCCATGCCTCTCTTCCCTTTTCCCTTCTCAGCAAATGATAAAATTCCTGCTTTGGAGCAGGAACTACCAGAATTCAGTTAAATGGGAGAATTTACTAACTTCTCTTTGCCTCTTCCTCCCTCACCCCAGCTCCCAGACTCCCTACACCAGCCAGGAAGAAGCTAATGTCTATGAGACAAGCCTGCCATCTTATGAGCAGATCCATGAGATGGCAAAGGGCTCTGTGGAATGTCTGAGGGTTCAAACGGCCCCACTCCTAGGTAACGGCGAGCTCCAGCCAGGAGAATGTCCCCATCCCTTTGTACAGGCCAAGGCCGAGGTCCACAGGATCTCAGAGAACGATGGAGAGACCTACAGCGAGCCAGCCTCTCTAGTGGTCACAGGAACAATCGGCAGGTGAGTGACCTTGAGGAACTGCTATCGGGGAGCCCAAAGGGCAATAAAAAGTTGCACTTATGGACATTCACTCTTTATGGACATAACAGTAGACAAAAAATAGGCAGCAGACATGGTGATCAAATCCTTCCAGCTAGACACATCTCATCAGAACTTGCGGGATGCTTCAGGTACCTGTAAGCTCTCTGGGACAGAGACTGTCTCTTTCTATGGCCTGTCTACCCTGAGGGAAAAGTAACCCTGGCATCGAGTCTGAAAACCCCGGGCTTGTGCTGTGGCGGGCTATAAACAGCTGTGTCAGTGTCTGGCTCACGCTGGAGCCTTTGCTCTGAGTTCCTCCCTCCTCACCAGGTTTCAGAGCCCACGTCCCAGCCTGAGCCCCCACACCTGTGCTGCTTTGCAGTGCTGGTGTGCGAGCCCAGGCCTGTACCCGATGTGTGAGTCCTGGATGCTATTGCCTTGTGTGACGGGGCAGTCACTGGGATGAAAAGGGTTAAAACAGCCCTGGGAGAAGGCTGAGGCTGGCAGCCAATCAGAGCTCGATGGGGCTGTATAAAAAGATGCCTGGCCAGGAGCCGCTCACTCATGCTCCAGCTCGGGAGGGAGGGGGACTTAGCTGCCTGCTAGCAGGGGTCCTTGGGCAGAGCTCTGCTGGGGGAAGGCAAGGTTAGTTGCAGGAGGTCAGGCCTGAGTAATCCCCAGGCTGAGGCCCAGTGAGGTACTTGGGCTGAGGAGGAGCAGCTGAGGCAGGAGAAGGCAGCAGGCCCAATCCCCCTTCCAAGGATGGGTGGTCATTTCAGACTGCAGTTTGTCCCTGAGGCAGAGGCTAGATGATGGGCAGTGGGTCACTGAGGCAAAGTGGGTATAGGAGGTTGGGGTTCCCTAAGAGTGGAGTACCCCAAAGTGTGGGGGCACTGCCCCATGGCAGTACCAGGAGGGAAGGGCAGGTGGTCTGGGAGGGACATGGGTCCAGATGAGTTGTGGAGAATGGGCAAAAAGGGACTAGTGGGTGAGACACAGACTGCATTGAGCTAATTCCTGGAGTGACTGGCAGGAGGTGTCATGGTGGCGAGTCCTGCATGGACAGGTTAGCAAAGCAAACAGCAGCAGTGCAGGGAGGACGCAGTGCAGTGTGAAGTGGGCGCACCACAGTGACGCTGGTGCATCCCAACAGCCCAGGCCTGTCAGGAGACGAGGGACAGCAGCACGGTCCAGGTCATCAGCGAAAAGGTTGTGGGGACTGGCTTCCAGCTTGGTGGCTGTGGTTGTAAAGCCAAAGAGCTGTGCAGGCCAGCAGGGACATGGTACCTGGCAAATAGCTCTTCAGGGGAGTGATGAGGCCTGAACTCACTTGTCAAATGCATCACACATAGGTCTACAACTGGACTGAATCCATTTGGGCCAGTTGGGATGTTCTGAGTTATATGTGGTAGCTTGTCAAACGCATCACACAAAGGTCTAGAACTGGACTGAATCCATTTGGACCAGTTGGGATGTTCTGAGTTATATGTGGTATGACACTAGGGGGCCGCATTTCCTCTCCCAGGCACAATGACAGGCTAATAGAACTGGCTTTCTCCAGCCCTGGACTCAGCTGTGACCCACTCACAAAAGCCCGAGCCAGCACCCACTCAAAGGAAGGGGGGGAGGGGTTATGGAAAGGGGGAAGTTTTTGCGCAACCTGGTCCCCATTTGTGCCTATGAAAATCACCCCCTGCATATTTAACTGCAGGGTCCCAGCTCTTCCTATCTTTCCTGGAGGATTGCCTGGTTTCATTTCCCCACTTTAATAGAAAAACGGGTCCTTATTTCCCAAGCACTGATTGCTAATAGGGTTTGGGCCCCTTAGTATCCCAGGGTACGGCTACACTGCTAGTTTTTTCAAGCCTTTTGTTGGAAGAGGCTTTTCCAACATTTGGCCCGTCTAGACTGGACCATATGTCAGAAAAAAAAAACCTCTTTCAGAAGCTCCTTTATTCCTCGTAGAACAAGGAGTACAGGGGCTTCCAAAAAAGCGCGTTTGCTCTTCCGGGGGGAAAAAAAACAGAAGAGCAAACACGTCCCTGGACATGGAAGAGTTTTTATCCTGGAAAAACTCTCGTAGTCTAGCTGTACCCCCGGTCAGGTCCTACACTGGGATCCATAATGGCAGAGCCCTGACCAGCCTAAAGCCCATTGCAGAGGCTCAAGGGTGTTGAACACATGCACTGAAATGACATTCATTGAAACCATTGTTAGATTGAACCCTGAATCTAGCTTCCTCTCTTGCTGTGATCAGCTGGGATGTAGTTAATATTAATGTTCTCTTTGGGAACCTTGATTAAAAGTTCAACAAACTGTCATTTGCCTTTTCCTCCAATTTATTTGTAGCAGACCTGATCAAATCCCTTCAAAAATCTGATGCGGGGAAGGCGGCTTCCTTAACAGTGTTATAAGTCTCAATAAACAAGTGCCAGGCCCCAGAGTTTAAATCCATGCTCTCAGTTCAGAGTGTCAGGCAAAGAGAGACCTAAGTACCTCTTCATTTAAAGACTTCAAGGAAGGCGAACAGATACCATGGTGATGGGCTCCGAGTCAGAAGCTGGATTAGAACAGTCAGAACAATAAATCACGTTGATCCCCGAACTGCTGAACAAGCGTTACTAACCAATCGTAGGAGACTTTGATGTGGGATTCAGCTGGCCCACTTGCTGGAATGCATCCATCTCTGGGCAAAACATGGTGGCTTTCTATCATGCCCATAAGCAGCAGTAGGCAACAGTTTCAGAAGAGAGATGAAGATTATTGTAGCCAACGGAAATTGCATGGGGAGGTTAGCTGGGCCACTGCACTCTGCTTGAGCAACATTCCCCACTTAAACCCTTTTGGATAATCGGTTAGCAACTGAGAGCGGGTCTGTCTCCTGGGTGACGAAAGGGGCTCTGAATTCTCCTTCCCCATCAAGCACTGGCAGGAAAACCTCCAGATTCTGGTTATGCCTGTGCCAAGATTTGTAGCAAGGAGACTCTCAAAGGACACGGGGAAACTATGCACCTTCTCCTTGGAAGCTGCTGCAGAGCAGGTGAAGGAGGAGGGATGCGCAGGTGGGCTTCTCTGAAGGTACCGTAATGGAGAGACAGGGCTCCCTGTCTATACAGAGTCAGAGCCTCACCTGGCTGGTGGCAGCTGAGATCCACAGTGTGGAGGGAAAAATAAACAGAACAGCATCTCTCTAAGACCCAGACCCACATCAGCTAGCAAAAGGGACACAATGAACCCAGCCCCATGCTGGCGAGCCGCTGTTCAGCTTGATTTACCGTAAACCCCACGGCCCAAACACAAAACAGGGAAACAGCTGCCCAGAAACAAGCCAGTAAATGAATCTGTGCCCTTCAATGTACCTTTGTGCCATTTTCAGCCCGTCAGAGAGGTCCCATGGTGCTGCACCACTGGCTTCCTGCCTGGAGGACACTGATCCGCCCTCTTCAGAGGGATCCATCGCCAGCAGCCTGTGTCAGGGGGGATCCACCGGCTCAGTGGGGAACCCATCCCCTTCCCAGGGCCACACGCAGATGCCCGGGTCTGAGCCTCATCACTATGAAGATTTTGCTTTGATTGATGCACCACTGGAGGAACGACAGGATCCTTGCCCGGAGCAAACACCAACCCAACCTGAGAACTACCTACCTGCAACTGCCCCAGCAAGCCATTGTGCATTGGTGGTAGGTCCTGGCTCAAAGGCAGTAGAGTCAGGAGAGACAGAGCGTGTGGAAGAGGAGGCGGATATGTATTATGGGTTAAAAGACGGGCCAGAGAATTTACTCATAGCTGATGATTTTGTCTTTGAGCCTGAGACCTAACTATGGAGAAGGGCAAGTGACAGGCAGACCCCAGTTGCAGGGCTCTCGTGCTGCTCTGTATCCCAAGTGCCTCGCTGGTCAGACTGGGGTCAAGTAGCTGGGAGATCACAGCCAGCTGCAGTATTTAAGGGTGTTTGGCCGGGTGCTGGCTCCTGGAAATGCGCTGGCTTGTAGGGGGAAGATGTTATATTTGGAACATTTAAAAAAAAAAAGGTGTGATTAATTCCAGAAAACACCGCCTGGCTTGGAATCAGCTGTGGACTATGACTGCTTGAAGAGTGTTCAGAGAGCAACGAATGGGCCAGCCCTCTGCATTCACTTTCCCCTCTGCTTGGACTTATTTAGCTGCAGGCCTGCCTGACAAGGAGGCTGCAATCCCAGGAAGCTGCCATGGGTGCTGGGAGTCCATTGGCATCAGAGGAATGTGTTGGGGTTAACAGGCCTCCTCCCTGGAGCCATGGGGAGACATGTAGTTCGGACCCATAACACCCATCCCGTAATTCAGCGCCAAAGCCCCAGCTACTTGCACTGGAATGCTCATAATTTGGGCACCAATCTGCTTGGGCCCAGACTAATGGGAACATGTGTTATGGGTGCCCAACCAAAAGGGAGGCCAGGGCTCAAACGGGCTGAAAATATCAACCCCACTATTCAAGAGTGCAATGGATTTTTCATTTGTCCAATAAAAATAATTAGGTAAATACGGTACTCGGGAAAGTGAGTCCTTATTCCAAGCAGAGAGAGCTGCAAGTTGCTGATCCCCGGGGTGTGACAGGGTGGAATACGGGGCCCTGGTACAACTTGTGATAGTCCAGGTCTGTGCTACCAAGGACTAGGGGAGCTCTTGTGTCTTCATGTCACTAAGGTCTGTGGATCTGGCTGGCATGTGGTGTCCATAATGCAAATCTGCACCCCCCTCGCCTACCCCAGGATTCAATGCAAGCACCATCTGGCAATGTGACACCCTCCGTCCCTTTTTCTGGAGAGGGCAGCATGCGAGGGTGCAGCCATGCTGCACTGAAAAAGCAATGACACGGAGGTGGCAAAGGTGTGCATGTGTTTGGTTTTCAGGCGGAGAGAGCAGTGCCATGGTCTTAGAAAGGGCTGTGGATGCCAACAGAGTTCAGCACAAGCATGAGCCGTGACAGGATCAGGCCCAGTTCATGTGCTTAGGAAGGGAGGAGAAGACGAACTTCTCCGATGGTTGCCCACCTGAAAACTAGTCCTGTTGTTCCAATGTACTCACCCAAGCCGATGCAGCAATGCCTTTTTCTAATCATAAAAAAGCCCCCACAGAATCCAATTAGTACCAATACCAGGGACCCTGAATTCCATGTTTCTAGAGTTTCCAGGTTAAAAGGTATTAATTATACATGAGAACGTCCAGCTCATTAACTCCTCCCCTCCACCTGGGGCTGTGATCTGGGGGGAGGCGTTCTGCAGATGGGTGGCAGTCAAGCAGAATACAGCTAACATGCTAGGACCCACTTCATGCTCCAATAGCTGCCTCGCAGCCCCAGGGGTCAGCTGGGCAGAAAATCCGGAGTGACTCATGTCAGCTTCAGGATCCTGCAGCTGCTGGGCTCCGTGGCTTGCCAGTTTGCCTGCTGGGGCTGGGAAATGATGCCAAGCTGACAGGAAGCCATGGAGCAAGCAGGCAGCAGCTGTGTGAACTTGACGAGGCAAAACAATTTCCAGCCATGTGACTCCTAACTAGGCCATCTGCAAATCAGGCAAGTTATTCCGGACAGGGTACCTCTGTTTGAAAACCTGGCTCCTTATACTTGTGAAGAGCCACATAAGTTTGGGCCTGGTGTTGACGAATACACAGTGATGACGGTGTTGTAGGTTCGATGTGGTTTCATGTTATCATGTGAATAAGTTGTGTGTGGCTGGAGATATCCACAGGAGCTAATTGCACAGAGTCCTTGATCTGCCCTTGAGCTAAAGGCCATGACACACACGTGTACTCGGCTTTAATTCAACAGGATCACACACACTTGAAAACTAGGCTGTTGCTGCACAAGCTCATTCACTCTTCAGGCCACTGGAACTGAAGATCTTGACAGATTAATTCTAAGGGGTGCTTGAGGATCGGAGAGTGGGGGTGTCCTATACATGGGGTCTTGCATTTACATTTTTACAGGTTTTTTAATGCCTAAGGGAGCCCTGGGTGAAGTCGAACTAATGTGTCATTTGGTTTCCTTATGATACGACAATCCTGACAAGAGGAAATACCACGAGAAGAGCAAATCTCACTGTTTTGTAGCCCCAGAAATGGCTCTCTGAGTTATTAAATAACCCACCAATGGCAAATAGACAGGTGGATTTCTCCAAATGCTGCTGTTCACAGCTGTGGGTAGCAGCAGGTCCTGCAGAGTCCTAATTCCCCTGAGGCTTCGGGGTGCAAAGTAAACATTCTCCTGTCAGGCCTGGCCCCACCGCCTCACACTGTGGCTAGTCATGCACACCTGAACAAAGGGGTTGTTGGTGCTGGTGACCTGGAGCTCTCCACTCACATGCCTGCATAGGGTAGCCAGCAGTGCAAGTGATTAAACAGGGAGCAAGGCAGCAGCGAACCAGGCTCTTGGGATGTGCAAGAGCCGTTCTTTCTGAAAAAGAGAGGAAGAATGACTCTTGCACAAGAAGGTTTTTTTGCACAAAAAGGAACAGTGTAGATGGCTCCTTTTTGCTCAAAAGCCCCTTGCGCAAAAACAGCAGCTCATTAAGTATGCAAATGAGGCACGACGATATTCACCGCCTTGCCTCATTTGCATATTTTTTTACACAAGAGGGGGCAGTGTAGATGTAGCCAGGCTGTTTAATTTGGTTCCATTACATCTCATCTCTCCTATTAAACCATCAGCCTGTCTCTGAACAATTCCTCTGCTCTGGTTCTGGAA